AAACATATGTTTAGAACATATGCTTATAGGACATTTTTTCAGTTTCGACCCCAGGAACCATTTCCCGAAGTTTGTCAGGGTTCCCGTGAAACACCCTGTATAATATGTATTTTCTATAATGTGCATCTGTACTATTTTTAGACGCCCAGTATTCACTGTATCTACTTGATGGTGAAGGTTCCAATCAGTTAGTTGACTGGGTAAGGTTGTAAATTGAAATATTCAGTAGTCAACAGCTGACACAAGACTTCAAATTCCTTGCTGAAGACTAGATTTAAATTTCCCTTAAACTTTAATTAAAACACTATTTTTTATGACGGTCAGTTTGCTTTTAAATCTGAACGGAAGAAGGTAAACTAGAAAGGTCATATATATTATTGAAGGCTAGATTTTCCACAACCCTATGCCCAGTTATTTATGCATTATAAGATAACCTGTTTTTTTTTTCTTCAAAAAACAGGTTATCTTATATTGCATTTTAACTATATATAAAATAAATTATAACTACAAAAAGAAATTAATTTTACTGTAGGTCTACGTATATAAGATATAGCTAATGCTTACAACTGCAACCAGAAGAATGGAAGTCCTCATTATATTACTTAGTAAGCACAGTCATGCAGTTTGAAATGGTAGAGATGAGAAAGAGTCTTAAATATGAAAGATCCATGTTTACATTGCTTGCTTAGCAAACAGTTGGATGAAAGTCTAACATATCAATGTCAATCCGTCCAATGTAACACCTGGTTAATTTCTGTCTCGTCAGAGGGGGCTGTTTACCATGCACCTATGAATGGAACTAGACATTTTATTCTTATGTCATAACTTCCACCAGTTTTAGACAATAAATAGACATGGTTTGATTGAGCCACTGACAGGGGGAGCTGATATCAATCATACATTTTGTTGCATACGAAAACTTTCTCACCAATCCAATTTTAAAGAACAACTAACTTACTATAATCTATGAGTGGCACATTGAACTATGTGCAGATTTAATGGAAATTTGGTCCATATTGATGGGATATCTATTTAAGGTTTCCAAAAGTTAGATTGGAATGTATGTTGTTTTTTTAAGAAAATTGCGGAATCTATCATGAAATCTAACAAAGTTTCATAATTGCCGAAGCAGTTTATAACAACATATGATTTGTAGTGTAAAATATTCTTCATATTTTTTATAGAATTTTAAGAATTAATTATGTTATGACTCACCTTCACATCCTGGAGAGCTAGGTTCTGTAACATTCTTCTTTCACTTAATTACTAAAGAACAAGTCCTAGGTATGTTTTAGTTTAAATTTATGTTTGTGGGTCGTTAGTTCAATCGGTAAGCAGTGAAAACGTCATAGTTCAATTTAAGCATAACGCATTGAACACTCTATGAGCTCTGGTAGGGTTATATGTTTAGTTTTTACTTGGAGATAGATAAAAAGAAGTTAAATATTGTTTGGTATCATTTATTTAATTACCTTTACCCGTTTAAGGTTTTTAAGGAGTCGATTTGAATGAGAGTTATACTGTGGCGTAATTATTACAGCTCATCAAATTCACTGAATTTCTGGAGATAGGCATGGCACCCAGGCCTAATCAAAAGCTTTTAGTGTATAACCATTGACTATTGGATACTGATCTATATGGACCAGCTGTAGCAAATGTTTTGTTAAAAAAGAATGTAGTTGTGTGAGCCAGTCACAGAATGCGCTAGTGACTAAAACTCTATTTTGTACCTCTTTTTTTGTTGATGGCCATTTGCTATAGCTCACAATAAGTCATTTCATTAGTTTGAATTGGTAAAAAAGATTGTGTATTCAATATAAATCGGTAATTTATATTAGCACAATCTGTCGAAGGCTCATATCAACTACGACGATTTTGGTTAAAAAAAACTGGCTACAAATTTTACATGGGGATGGAATGTCTAATAACTTAATATAAATTTTAATAAACATTTTGAATAAACGTTATCCTAGGCTATAATAATAATTTTGAATAAATTACTGAATCAGACTGCAGCGATTACTACTAATTTAAAACGATTGATGCGGTTTGTGACTGGTTGTTGCTGATTGAATCTGGTGTGGTGTGTCTGTGGAATAATGCCAAGATTGGGTGAATAGGTGAGGATTGAGACATTTAAATATGTAATAAAATAATTGTATGGTTGAGGAGTTAGGAAGGGTTGTAACTGTTTGGCTATAACAGCTGATCAGCAGGTAATTATTTTCTAATGATTGTTTATGTTTGGATTTTACTGTTTAGTTTTTCTGTTTTCAAGATGGCATTTTACGCAATCTTCTCCAGGAAAACCAGAGTACCTATCAAGATCCAAGTCATTTTCATTTTAATTTATTCACTGGATTGGCGAGAGTGTCTTTAGCCATTAAAATATGGCCTCACTAATTTGTAAATATCATTACGGACGTTCAAAAATGCAGTTTTGTGCGATTTTTGTCAAGTTTTCGTCCAATTTTGATCACATTATCATCTATGAAATAACAAACAGCTGTTCGGATCAAGATAATTTTTTCTAGCTGTCTCTGATATGTTTACAAATGTTGTTTACAAATACCACAACCATTTCCGATCACGTTTTGGAGGCAAATCCCATCCAAGTGAGATTAAAAACGTGTTTCTTACATAAAGGATTTAATTAATCGCAAGTGGAATATAGTGTAACCGTAAATTAAATTAAATAGCTATTCATCCTCCAGGTCAGAAACCAGAGATTCTTTGTGCATAGAATTGTTCTTAAGTTTTGATAGCTAGAAAGAAGACCTTGAATCAGTGTTGTATACGGCTGGGAAACTTCACAACACTTCAAAATGAGGTGTCACTTGATAGGGGTTTACATTGAAAAGTTTTTAGTTGCCCCCCCCCCCCAATCTCCACTTTTGGGGGGACACTCAAAATTTTAAAATGTAAACCCCCATTTAGTGACACCTCATTTTGAAGGGTTTACAAAAACTTAAAGAATGGTGAAAACCAGAGTTCGCTATCTCTTCTCTATCCAAAATGGTAGGCAATATTACCATTACGAACCATATTAACCACTGATTTTCCACAACATTTGACGGGCTACCATTTTGGATGGAGAAGAGATAGCGAGCTCTAGTTTTCACCACTCTTTAAGTTTTTGTAAACACTTTATAAAATGAGGTGTCATTTGAATGGGGTTTAAATTTAAAATATTTGAGTTACCCCCAAAATCCCCCCTTTTGGGGGGCCACTCAAAAATTTCAAAATCATAAAATGAAACTTCCTGCTAAGATTGCACGACCCCCAAAAGGATATCTTTGTATATTTACTTGGGAAAATATTAGATGGGGGGGGTTTTGACTTTTTATTCACCCTGTATATAATTCAGTTATAAAATCTTTGTACAACTAAATCTAAGTTTAAATGGGCTGATTTTATTAATTAGTGGGTTGTTGGAAAGCTTAATTAGTATAGATTTGCAAATAGTTATGAAAGTTTGTTTTTGTTATGACTTATGGTGAAAAATAAAAAAACACGTTTTCCATAAGAAATACATTGAAAACGGTGTTTTTTACACTTTTATTTGGTTGCGACTTTTGGCTGCCATGATATCAATTTGTAGGAAATTTTATTTTCTTTCAGAATATTACCTTTTACTTTGGTCGATTTCCTCACCATTTAAAAGTTATTTGCAAAAAAAGCTAAGCAAACTCAGAATTAATAGTAATGAGAAAATACTGAGTTAGGGATATTTTTTTAAACGTTGTACAACTAAATCTAAACTTCACTGGACCGATTTTGGTAATTAATTGGTCATTGGAAATCCTAATTCATGTAGATTTGCAAATTATTATGAAAGTGTGATTTTATTAAATATTTGTGGTTATTATAGCATGAAATAGTACAAATAATTGAATAATAGATAATTTATTAATTGATAAAATAACAGGAACGATCTTGAAATTACTCGAACCCAAACTCTGATAATGTTCATCATCTATTGTTGGTGAGCATCTCCTCATGCCTTCTAAATTAAATCATAACAAATAACAAATCTTCTGGTTATATATATGAAACATAAATTAACTTTACAACAACTCCTTCCAACGTAAAATAAAATTATTTAAAAAAAAAATATTGAAACAAAGGGAGGCATTTGTTTATAGATATAATTTCGCTGGCATTCTGCAGGTTCTTTGAGAGCGTCAAATGACAGCATCTGATAGTGTGTCATTGTTTGTAGTAAGAGGGATATTGGTTGATGAACATTGGTCTGGTATGTGATGATGGAGATTTTGCTGCATCGTCATGTTGTAACGGTTTCTCTTTAGGACGTGAATAGATTTCTCTTGAATATTGTACAGTGATATCGGCGCTGGGCTTTAATCTTATCAGCCTATCAGTATGAGATGAGATTCGGTATAAGAAAGGTAGTGACATAAGTAAAGCTGATGCACTATCCAGGTTACCTTGTGCCAATGAAAATGATGTGGGTGAAGTAGCATTCTTTTCGTCTTCTCACGAGTTACCGATCGATCACTTCAAAGGAAATCGCCCTCGCCACCAAATTTTATCCAATCCTATCAAAGGCTCTTGATTTCACCGGTAATGGATGGCCTAGTTTTTCGGATGATCCAGATATCAAATCATTCTTAAACAAAAGCATACAATTATCAGTGGACCGTGGGTGTCTCGTATGGGGAAATCGTGTAGTGATACCTTCTACTCATCAAAAAGAAATACTAATGCTGCTACATACAGAACATCCTGGCGAATCAAAAATGAAGGCATTGGCACGCAGTTTTGTTTGGTGGCCAGGAATGGACAGAGATATAGAAAACATGGTGAAGGAATGCTCGATATGTCAAAAGACGCGTAAATCTGCTCCACTTGTACCCCTACAACCATGGACATGGCCACATCATTGCTGGCAAAGAATTCATCTCGATTTTGCCGAGTTTCAAGGAAAAGACTTTCTGTTGGTTGTAGATAGTTATTCTAAATGGATTGAGGTGTTCTAGATGACTGGTACTACTGCTAATCACACTATCGAGAAGCTGAGACATTGCTTTGCAACTTTCGGACTTCAAAACACTGTTGTTACCGATGGAGGACCACAATTTAGATCTGAAGAATTTGATAGTTTATTGAAAACTATTGGAGTTCACCGCATATTTACTCCTCCGTATCATCCTGCATTCAACGGTCTTGCTGAACGAGCAGTTCAGACAGTCAAGGATGCGTTCCGCAAGCAAATGCTTCATGACGCCAAGCATAACTGTTCCCGAAGTATACAACATTGTATAGATTCGTTCCTCTTCGTTTATCAAAACACCCCACATTCTATCACTGGCATGACACCTTCAGAAGCTATTTTTAAATACAAACCTAAGACCCACCTGAACCTACTAAAACCCCATCTGGCATCAGAAATGGAAGTGAAGCAAGATAGTATCACTAAATTGGCTAACAAAAATCGAGGGAAGCCTAGAAACTTCAATTTGGGAGAACAGGTATTAGTGCGTTCAGTACGCAAGGAGATTATATGATGGCATCCTGGGGTTGTTACTAAGATCATAAGTCCTGTCACATATTTGGTGAAAGTAGAATGCCGGACAAGGTTTGCGCATGCTGACTACCTTAGAACAAGTCACTTGAGAAGCGAGGAAGAAGAGGACGATATCACTGTACAATTTTCAAGAGAAATCTATTTAGTCCTAAAGAGAACCAAGTGCTTTTCGTTGGAACGCCATGATGACACACTTGACTAATTAGGTATTGAACTCCGCGACTCCGCGTAAGTAGACTAACTTCAAACACGAAAAACAAAATTAAACAACTAATACTGTCTTTAAAGATTTAAATAACTCAAAACACACACGTGAGAACTTTTTAGGCTCGTCGCCATTATTATAGCATGAAATGCAATAATAGAATAATTGAATAATAGATAATTTATTAATTTATAAAATAACAGGAACGATCTTAAAATTACTCGAACCCAAACTCTGATAATGTTCATCATCTATTGTTGGTGAGCATCTTCTCATGTCTTCTAAATTAAATCATAACAAATAACAAATCTTCTGGTTATATATATGAAACATAAATTAACTTTACAACAGTGGTAAAAAAGTAAAATAACAAAAATACATTATTTTTTCTATTTTTAAGTTCATATTTGTAGCCAGCTTTAGGCTGTCTTTATTAAGTATTTTCAAGAAATGCATAGTAATTATTTGTAGTAAATTTTATTCTCTTTTAGAGAATAAAATCAAACACTATTAACCACTATTAAGTCTGACTAAAGATTTAACATTAATAATTGTCAAGTATACTTTTATAACCATCTGACTAACCAATTTAAGACTAGGCCAGTTTAAAAAAAAATAGGAATTTTAAGAAGCATTTCATGTAACAATATTGAGGAAACAGCGTTTTTAGGGTATTTCAACCCTGCTGAGTACGAATCTGCCTGTTGCCAAAGCGAAATTTGAGTTGCCATATCTCCCTCGTTAGTTGGCCTAAAATAATGGTTTAAACGTGTATATAGGGGGTTTTCAGATGACAAAGACACATTACAACACTCAAAATTTACTTAAATTAGGTTTTAATGGCATATCTTCCAAAATTGCCACCAAAACTCGAATTTCCGCATATCTCACTTTGCTTGTTAGCTTAAAATAATTATTTAAACGTCTGCATAGGATTTTTCTCGGATTCCAAACATATCGCATCACCTAAAGTTTACTTACATTAAGTTTTGGGGGCATAAATTCCAAGATGGAACCCAAGATGACGTCGGAACCAGTTGCAGAACGCAAGACGTTGCCCGATATCATTATTGTCTATTTCCTGGACCAAAATCATTTTGTAGGGATGGAACTTATTGTCTTTAAGGATGTTACAGATCGTTGCACGACTTACTCCAGATTCTCGTTCGTGCCGTCTAATGGAATCATGGGGCTGAATAAGCACGGATGCTATAATATCTGCAGACTTCTCATCCCTAACCCGTCGATGAATTTTCTTACCCTTGTTGTGGTGAGGTTGAACAATTCCTTCTGTCTGGATTCGTCTTGAGAGTCTTGCAAATACATGCCGGGAATGAGGGAACCGATCAGGAAAACGTTGTCGCCAGAGAGTAGCAGCCCAAGCAGCGCCTTTAAATGACCCAGCTTCAAACAGAACTTGCTACATTACAAGAAAATGGCAGCGCAAAATTACTTAAATAACCATTGTCTCAATCATTTTTAGCTGCCATTTTGTTATTAATGGTCCGATTTCTATTTTCTTTATGTTAATTGTTATTGTTCATCAAGACCTACAAAATGATACCAAACTCGACTATACTTGCTATTTGAACATTTTGGGCTACCCCCTACCCCCGCTACCCCTAAGGGCAAAATTTTCCAAACTGACCGTGATTATTGTAGCCCTTCATTTCCAAACAAGTTGCCGCAAATCGATTTCAAATATCTCAAATAGTTAAAAAGTTAAGCAGGGTGCAAGTTAATTTTTTTACCACCCTTATGGTTATGTGGATTTGAAACGTTTTAGGGCGCCATTTGGTTATTAGTGAGTCGATTTTGGTTTTCTTTATGTCAATGTTTATGTTTCATCAAGACCTGTAAAATGATACCAAACTTAAGTACATCAAATGGTACTTGGTGCTTATCAAATGACTATACTTGTCATTTGAAAATTTTGAGCTACCCCCTACCCCTAAGGGCAAAATTTTCAAAATTTACCATGAATATTGTGGCCCTTCATATCTAAGAAGGTTGCCACAAACCGACTTCAAATATCTCAAATGGTTGAAAAGTTAAGGGGGGGTGCAAGTTACTTTTCAGCCACCCTGTATATTTTATTCGAGTTTCTATCAAATACAACTTTAAATATATAAAATATTTATAAAATACATAGGTATTTGTGCTACTAGGGAAAAATAAGTAAATCCATATCAATATCGATCGACCATGATGATATAGAAGACTAAACAGACTAAAAATAAAAACTAAATAGCAAATCAAAACTAAATACACCACTTGGACACTGGGCTAAAATCAAAAACAACAATCGACCTTGAGGGTTGAACCACGACTGAGGAGTGGGGACAGTCGCAGTTCCGGCTGTTTCGCCGGTATGTGTGTTTATCTCCATAAGGCACAATGCCCCGCTACCCACAATGCCCGGCAACCGGAGCATTTTCCCGCCGGACCGGTGGTTTCGCCGAACCGGAGAAGTGTGGCCTTCCCCATGCCTTCCTGTGTATCTCAACTTGCTCCGTCGGTTTCACCTTCGCCGTAAGTGTGTCCCTGGCCCAGTGAGGTTACTGTAATATTTAACAACTTATTGCAGGCACTGCATACATTCATGGTGTCAAAATTGCAGGATTACTCTTGATATTTACAATGCCAGGAAAAACTGACAATGATATAAAATACGTACTGTACATCATTCTGGAGTTACTGAGTTCATTCCCAATGATTTGGGAAAGCATATTTGTTGCAAATTCCCTGTTCAGAAGGAGTTATATCCACGGTTTTTTTATTGGAGTTATTTATTACACCTCTTACCAAAACGTCCCTTGCTTTACTTTATAGTATTTCATACTAAACATACTTCATAGCTAAAACACAATAATACTCGTTTTAATCAAGGTCTTTCTTTGTGTTAAAAATATGTTTTAAAATGGTCTTATGAACACTGTTACATATTCATTACTGTGCTTATCAAGTATCAACTGTAATTGACAATTTAACAGATACAATATGGATTACAAAAGATTTGGATAAATTAAATCGACCAAAGACCGCTCTCAGATATACTAATAATTTTACCCGAGCGAAGGTCGGTCCCCTGGTACTATTATATTAAGAGGGGTAACTCATTAACCTCTCTTAATCGATTTTATTGTAACTCGAAAAATTATGACAAGAATTAGTTACTAAAAGAAATTCATTAATTATTCCAAGCTCGTAATTGAAATCGGTAAAACATTACTGTGAATTTAATAAACATTAACTTTCTCTAGGGTATTTTATTGCTTACACAATAAAGCGAAAATATGAAAAACTAGTAGAGAACCAAGCAATTAATAGACAAATGCCTGAAGAGTTTCTAAATTCATTTTGCTCATAGCTCTTTGTGAGGTGATGATAGAGATTGCAAGTGTGAGTTCATTTATTTATTTTCTCTCCCCCTATAAGCCGCGTTTACTCGGGCCAGTAGAGCAGGCAGGTCCCACCAGCTGGCCTCATGTAAACACGGCTTATACACTCAGTTAAAAGAAATAAGAACTTTTGTTGTTGTTTCAATATTTTAGACAGTGTATTTTAAAGCAGAAAGCTGTTTATTTAACATTGCTTTCTTTGTAACCTACTATCCTTTGTCGTTATTATTAAGTTTACATGTATTTTTATAATTAGTTTATTTTATGCAATAGCAAGTAAGTTGTCTGTTTCACTGGAAGTTATGTTTATATTTTATACTGCTCTATTTTTTGGAAATAAAGTATATTTTGGTTTTTATTTTTTCTCTCACTACATCTTTATACCTTTGTTTGAAACATCAAAGTATTTCTAATTATGTCCTATCATAGTCAAATGGCAAGTAATTTAGCAGAATATTGTATTTAAAACAATTACACACAGTTATTAGGGAATAAATCAAAATATATATTGATTGATATTTACAACTTTGAACGCTTGAATGTTTGATATTATTCATCCACTATAGTCTAATAGGCTATAGGTCATTTAGGCTAAATCCAATGAACAAAGCAGTGTAGTGTATGTAAACAGTTTAAATATAATAATGATACCTTTATACATCTAGTTTAATCCTACTGTATTGTAAAATATTGGCAGGGACTGGAAAGTAGATAGACATTTTTTAAAGTATTTATTTTTATTGTTCAACACAAGCATTATAGGATAGAATTTCATGTTATTTAACTATTCAAATATACACATCATAAATTAGAAAACTCAGAAATTAAAGAATTTCCTTACACTATAAATGGTTTGCCATGAGCTGAAATGAAAAATATGGTATGATTTGGAAAATAACAATTTTAAAAAGATAATTTTTAAACATTAAAAAAGTTGCAGTTTTATAGGAGACAAATAATTTGTTTTCATAAGGTAAAACAGCTTATCACACTAGATATATAGGCAATATAAAAACATACATGTCATTTTTTTGTAAATTTTTAAGGCTTTAACAAATAAGAATGATTTATTTAAAAAGTTTTAAAATCCAAACTATACAATCTGCTTATTAAACAAAACCACCCCCTCCATTGTAGACCTTTTACAATTTTGTTACATTGATATAACATCAAAATATTTTTCCCCAAAAATTCATATTTACAAAAATGAAATGTACTAAGAACACGGGAAACCTACATGTTGTGTTTCTACATGAAAATAATAGTAAGAATGGAATAACCAATTGATCACTTTATACTCACACTTTATTAGTATATACCATTTTAATACTAAAATTTACACCTCTTTAGAAAAGGTCCCTCCTTATAAAAGAC